AAATTTGATTGGCTGTTTATAGTAGATCCAATCTGATTGGTGTGACATACATACATCTCTCACTGACTCACTCACTGACTCACTCACTCACTCACCCATTGACCCGTCCATAATATACCCGACACGCCGACTAAGAGGTATTTTTTTTACAAAAAAATAACTCAAAAATAAAAGAACGACACTCTCTTTTAGGAGAGTACTATTTGCCACCAAATGAATCACCAATCGGATATATGTTGCCGGATTATTCGTGGCAAGCGAAAGACGAACTCCTTTGACTTCTTTGGAATGAGCACGGACTTTTTTTTTCGCAACGATAATTTATCAAAAGATTTACAGAAGAGAAGGTCAGCTTCTAGTGGTAATAACGAATATTTTTAACAGGATGAACCATCGGTGTATTAGACACAGTTATCAGAGGGGTCCTGTAAAAGAAACTATAGTGAAAATAAAGTAAAAAAAGGTAAAGAAGGTGAAAATGGGTAAAAAAAAGGCGTACAAGATTAGTAAAAATGTTCACTTAAGCTTTTGCTTAACAGAAATCTCGAAGTTATGGATCTAAATTCGATTGGCAGTCCATTAACAATCTGGGCGCCTTGATAGTTAAAGTTCTTCCCAAATTCAAGGCGAACTTTAGGTAGTTTCACTGATAAACCTTTGTTCCTTGTGTTCTTTGAGTAAAGTGATCTTTCAAAGTAGGTCTTAAATGGGGTGCAAACATTATTTTGAAGACAGTCGAAAACGAACCGACTGCATTCTCTCCTGATGGTAGTTTTAGATTGCTGTGACCAATAATTTTCAAACTTCGTTGATCAATGTTCTTTATCAGACTCTTGGGTGTCTGACCAAGCAAGACCAAGTGATCCGCAGTATGTAAACGAATGAGTAAGCTTCAAATCATTGTATGATTTTCTTGAAGAGTAAAACATCACCCTTCCTCGACATGTTGCCAGACATAGCGCATACGCAGAGCCATCATATCCGAGCGAACATATGAATCCATTGACGTAGTCAGTCTTAATGACCAGCAGATGTTTGTTAACTGCTTCTCAATTCGTGGGATTACCTCGGAGCGTTGTCTAGTGTTTTCTTTTTGTCGTTCAAACTGCTAATGAACAAGGTGATATTGAGAGTTGCCCACAGCAGAAAGGTACACGATGAACAAGGGAACCTAACTCCTACAGCAAGTATCGCATTTATTAATAGGACTACATTTGTCGATATTTTTCCTCACTCCCTAGCACGGGAATGATCACCAGCAATAAAATACTGCTGAAGAGTAACAGCGGATCAAATCCACACCGAGGCATTTTTCAAGTATTTTATTACGGCTTTCTTATATCGTATATATTAATTTTTTTCTGAAAAAATATCTCTCATTAATCAATATATTTGGAAACTATTGTTAGTTACATCGTAAGATACTTCGTATTAAATTATTAAGTACATTATTGTGACAGACGAATATGTTATAATATAGCGCGGTTTAGTTAACCGAAAGTAAAATATCAGACAGGTTGGAAACTTATGATTCAAGTAGGGTTGGACCATGACCATTAGATTACCGCTGGCTGGAGGGCTGGGGGCTCGCATGAAGAGTTAGCTGTTCAATTTTTTTCTTCCCCCAACCTGGAAATAATATGATATTTTGGCGGGGGGGGGGGNCTGAACAAAAGGCACGTCTGATCAACCACATGATAAGCTCAGCGAACCAATCGAAACTCATGCTAAAGGAATTGGCGATTGGTTTTGGTTTTGCATCGTAAACTATTTGTGGTAAAATCAACACGGTTTTTTTCACCGGTTAGTTAGAGATTATAGATCACAGCAAACGCAAATTCATATATGTGAAACAAACACTGTATCCATTCTTACCATTACTCACCACAGACAACAAACAAACTTACTTCAATTATGATATCCAATAAACCCCAACCCTAAACGATTTGTCATTTCTATGGCAACCCCACAAGGGGCGCCCAACGGATCGCATAATCTCCTCCGATTTTCCTAGAATTGTCCCCTCGAACTTTCGTCAGAGTGTTTACGTGATATGAGAAATTTAATGCCTTTTTATTTTCAGATTGATATAAACGTCGTTTTGGGCACTAAAAAAGGTCAGCTATGATTTAGTCCTAACGTTTTCTGGAAACGGACAAAGAACCGTAACAAATTCGAGAAAACCAAAGTTACCCTTAGAAAGACCAGATATAAACTTTAAACCGCAGCCTAAGCTTGCCTTAAGGAGCTTCAAAGGCACTCCATATAGCTTAAATCAGCGTTTTCAAGCATTTTAGAGAAAACCGTCGTTAGGTGCCCCTTCCACGCTTACCACAGCAAAACACTCGGAGGATCAAGGGTTCAGAAGGCTCAACGCACATAACGAGTGTTCGTTAAAAATGTCGTTTGGGTTATTTCCTCGAAGCTGGTTTTCACTCTCCACGGAGTCTTAGTCGTAAGTCGTAAGAGTGCTTAATACAACCCAGTGAAAATCACAAATCGGATTCGGGGTTGGAATAATCAAAATGAATGAATGAATGAATGAATGAATGAATGCATGAATTGAAGACTTTATTTCAGGATCAGAACGCTTCCATTTGGTCCGATTCCGCTAACGATTCCGTCACTTTTTACGATCCAGTGAAAACTGGATTATAGGAGTCGAAATAAGAGGCGGAAAAAGCATCCGATTACAAAGCTAAAAATTTCTGCTGTGGATTTGATTCCGTTTTCAATAGATTATAAGCGACGGAGTCATAAGTGGAATTGGTGTTCTACGTCGGCCATCGCTTTGATTTCCACTGGATCGTGTCGCTCTCGTAACTGGTGAAAACCAGCCTTCGAGATTCAACAATGCCAAAACCCTGGTCTCACAGCAACATTAACACACGTTATTTGGACTTTACTGAACTAGAGTCGAACCTTGTCGCTGTAACATATTCTTAAGACTCAGTCAAAAGGAATGAAATTTCCATTTTGAATGCTTAAAAAGCATGCTTCTAAAAGGTTTCGAGAAGTCATCTAGCTCGCAATCAACTGATAAATCAAATCTGCAACACACACGTTGTTCTAACTAATTTCGGAGTATAATCAACCCTTACACTTGTGAGGGCTCATTAGGGGTTCTCGGGATACGAGATAATCAGGCAAAAAAATTAACGGCATACAGGATATTTAGGGGAAACAATGGGATATTTAGAACAGATATCCCGGGGGCAACAAGAAGGAAAATTGCTAATATTTGAAATTGGAATTAATGGAGTACGAGAAAGTTGGGTCAAAAATTAACAGGGTATGGGATACTCAGACCTCCTCTCCCCCCCCCCCCCCCCCCCNGCCTCACTTAAAGAGTACTGTCTAGCATGCATCAATCAAAAGTTTCAACTCTGCCGACAAATTCACGCAGAGTTTCCATTGCCATGGTGCTATGTATTACTTACTTCTCTAAAGAAGTTCTTTATTGTTTTTTAAAATAATGAATCTGCCCTCTCTTGGAGTGAAAAGGTTCATTTCGGGAATTTCAGAAAGCTGCTTAACCCAGTAGAAACTCAATAACCTGATATACTGACTTAGCTAAGTAATCAGCACATAAGCCTGGTAACCACCTTGCCAGAGAAATGTTACTGAGCAACAACAATTAGTCGATTTATGAACAAGTCTTTTTCGATCAATATTTCAAGAGAACTATGGTATAGCGTTTTTAGCGCCCAATGTTAGTTGTTGTTTAAAAAGTACTTATGTTTATTTGTAACATGACGTGAGCATAAGTCACAGTTAACATGAATAAACGCAAGATATCACGTTCAGGATTCTCACTGGTGCAATAATCCTGCTATGTATTGATTACCTTTCTTACCTTTCGCAGTGTATAAAGGAGATGCAAATGTAGAAATTGAAATCAGCATGGAGTCAAAAACGTCAATACAAAAATCAATAAATTATGTAAATAAAATCTCTGAATAAAAATAGTATGCTAAAATTGTGTTCATTTTCTGCTCTTCTCCTCACAAGATGATCGCAGAGAATTCCGCGCCTGAGAAACAGGAAGAAATGACATGATTACAAAACAATGCTAACTATAGCTGAATTTGATCGCAGCCATTACAATTTACAGCGTTGATTACAAGTATAATGAACAGTGACAATGACGCAGTTATAAAAACGGGCGATAAGGCAACTTTGGGCTTAATTTACCGTTAGAAATGGCTGGAAATAACCCATGCGTTGACCAAAGTTGATTTTGTCACAGTATTTAAAAAAAAAAAAAAAAGATTACCTGAATTTGAAATTTACTTTGAATCTAGCTGACAAATCTTCCGACAGCTAATCTTCAGTAATGTTTAGAAACTTATGAAAACCATTTCAATTGCCTTCACCAGTCTTCAATGTCATTGAGAAATAGTCCAAACAGAAAACAAAACGTTATTGGACTCAGCTAAGTTAGGTTTGGACAAACGTCGGATCCATGTTTTTCTTTTTGGAGATCTGATGATACCAGGTGATAATAGCGTTAATAATAGTGACCAAGTCAGTAAAATATGAGTTAGAAATTAGCAACATTACTATAGTTTGAAGAAAGTTACCACGAGCAAACAAGTTTAATGTCAAAAATTACATCTTTATTGTCACAACAGCAGTCATCAATCATTATTATCAGTTTATGATTAAGGTATACACGATCAACATACGACATACCACAAGTCACTAAGCTACACATGACCAATGAACACCTTCAATGTTAATAGTTTTAATTGTGTAAAAATGAAAAAATCGTGTACTGATTTGCTAGAGGGGGTCCTAGTATGACACATGTCTGTTAACATTACTTTAACCCTACAGATCTAGGTGTGACTGAACCATGTTATTATCCTAAATATTATATTAAATCTGTTACTCTGATCCAAGAAAGATGTCCCACATATATTATCACACTGCACAGCACCCAAACACCATATCATTTTATCTTGATGTATGGAAATGGACATGAGCTGTGGTCAACATGGAATACAAATTAAATCACTAAACTTTTTAAAGGACACTGTGTAACCCTTTCAGCAACATTTAAAAAAAAAAAACACACCAATGATCTTCTACGCACAGCGAACTCTTTCTAACTCAATTTGTAGCTTTTTAAGCAAGGTGGGAAGACTTTCATGGCTTCATATCCCAAAGAAATTTCCTCTCTAATTTATTAATTATTGGGGTTTGAAATTTGAAAAACAAAACGGGCGATCAGTCGAACCTCCACAAACGGCCACCTCCCTTCAAAATAACCTCTATAAAACGGCCAGTTAATCAATGACTGACGAACAGTGCAAACAGAACCCTATTTTTATTGTAAACGTTGACGAAAATTGATCCATACCGCGTGTCGTTGGTCTCTGTTTCTGTTTGGTGACTGTTTATCCATATATTTTGATTGTGTTACGTATTTACATGCTACAATAAGCATTTTTCAAGATAAAAATGTTGCACCCCCGAAAACATTCAGGTGTCATAATACACCCCTGCCTCCCCATAATGGCCACCTCTCTACAACGCCCACTTTCTTGTCCCCAAGGTGGCCGTGGTGGAGAGGTTCGACTGTTTATTCTCTAAAAGATTACCAAAACAAACGTTATGTAGTTCAATATTTTCTGCTGGGATAATCGAACTAAAAAGAAAGGTCAGTAAAAAAAAAATGCATATTCAGGGTAACATTCACCTAAGCAAGAGCACGGTCGTTTGCACCAAAATAATAAATTCGTTTTCTTTGCATTAAAAATGTCAACAAGATCAGTAGTTTTGAATCATTGATTATTCAGTAATATTCAAGGACTCTTCCCTCAGCATCGCAAGTAACATTTGTTTACCTGGGCAGGGACACTAAATACCGAACATTCAAGACTCCATTGAACGTAAGATCACTTACACTGTTGGGTACTTCACATACTAATCACATAACTCCTGTTTCGTCAACTTCAATTTGTTGCTTTCCTTGACGTAAAGTACTACTCGAGTATTCAAGGACTTATCAACATGGAAATGCCGGTAACAATTCAAGGAGTTTTCAGAGAAAAACGAAATCATTTCAAAAGACTTTTTCAAAGAATTTTTGAAAGATTACTTCAAGGCCTGTACAAACCATGATCCACTTTCTTTTCTAAATTAACAAAAATATAAATTTCTTAAGTGATCTGCCAATATTTTAAACTATCAAAACACCAAACTCCACGTTAATTAGTAATGCTATGTGCTACTATTAGAAGTGCTTAGTTTCTTAACAAACTGATCTTGAAATGAGACCACAAACTTGTAGAATATGAAACTTAGGTATGACTAAAATGACCAGCAGATTATATACATTGCTTTTCACCTGAAAATCTGCATTTTATGAGGCAGCATGTTTTTCAGGGTTGTTCTGGACACATGAAAAGGCCATTTTATCAAGCCTTCTGGAGGCAGGATTTCACCACACACTGCATTATTTCATCAAAATAATCTTGGACAATTGAAATGAAACGTTAAGGCCACCCCTGCCCCCATTTCAATGAAGGAAGAAAATTGGTATGTTTTTGTTTGAACGTGAATTCATCATTGATTCGGGGGGAAGAATTCTTCTTTTTTTCCATCCAAGATTGTTGTTTCCAGTGACCACATACACTGGCATTACACAATATTTACAGGTAGAGTGGTGTATGTTTATATTCGGTGTTGGTTGTAATTTCTTTGGAGATTATTATTCCTCATGCATGTATCTAAGGTTTTCATTTGGTTTCTTTTTCAGACAAAGTTTTCCTTTATCCAAGTCTTTTACCTCATTGCTTTTTATTCTTGAACTTTGCTATTTTGCAGAGATATCAATCCGACTCCTAGCATATTGCTGAAAGGGCCACTCAACAGAACACACATGCACACCAACAACAAAAAAACACCTAAAATAGATTTCAAAATATATTACAGTATTATTAAATCTGATTGTTGATAATTTGTCTTCAAACGTACAGAAATATATTAAGATCATTTGTTACAAAACTCATATTTTTTTAGTAACAGGAACTAAATGTTTAGTCCACAGTTGTGAGTGGGCTTGTAAAAGATGCAAAAGAAATCAGTTTCTTCAGGCTTTGTATTTAGCCTGACAATTAGTCAGTCTTCTTCAGAGTTAGTGTTACCCATTGTCAGTCTAGTGAGAAAGAGAAGTTATGTGTTAGTATAAATTACATTAAGTTACTTGCTTCTTAGCTGCATAGCTGTAACTGAGCATTTTTATTAACACAATTTGTTTTGATTAATAGCCCTTTACAGTTTATTTGGCATTTCTAATTAACAGCAAGCAATTCCTTTGTGCACGGTTACATTTGCTCCATTGTTCTTTAAAAAATGACTAATTTCATGAGGGTTGTCTTCTGATACTGAAATAACAATCTTTGCCCCTTATGCAAATCATAAATTAATATACTTCGTGATATTTTGTATGAACCAGTGAGTCAGCAAGGTGTATTACAGCTGTAAGTGCAGTTATGGACATTAGTGACTTAAGAGCCGTGTAACAGAATTTGCTTTCATTGAGGAATAAATTTTTGCCACCTGTCTGGCATATCCCATCATCATTAACTCTAAGCATGAGTCCCCTGGGTGAAAACAATAAAGTTAACCACTGTTGCATTGTATGCATCACATCAGACTGCAGAATTCAATGGAAGTTCATCAGGCAAGTGTTTCAGTTACCATAACATTGCTAAAGTGCATGTACGTGTAACTAGAACTGTATTAACTGTATGATTAAGAAAAAATGCCAATCAATTGCACCAAGCAGGCTCAATCCCTCCTCCCTTCCCGCTAAGTCAAGACTGGTTTTCGTTAAGGCTGTGAACGCAAACAGATTTTCACTTGTTGTTTCATTCTTGCATACTGCTGAAAATGATGTCTCCAAAAACAAGGCAAGGAAATTATTACCATGAAATTTGTGAGCTTTTGCCAAGAAAAGTAAAAAGCCATTTTACAGTGAGGGTTAGCTGATGGTTTTAGCTCAGATACCTTCAAGGGTGCCACCTGGGAAAATCCAACCTCGTTCCCAGGCTCTCTCCTCTGCCTCCCTTGGTCATTGGAAGAAAGGCCCTTGTTGCGGCTGGTCATGTGACCACCCAGAATCTGGGTGGTTAAAGAAATATGCCGGGCAGGAGGGGTGGCAGAGTGTTTTGATTGTTGTTGTGAGAAACTTTGTGGGTTTCAAAACCTCGAGCAGTCGCTAAAAACTACTTGCTTTATCTGGGTTTGAAGTCAAATTTTTGCCAATGAATAATGCTACATTATTTCTGCCGTCTCCCAAATAGAGAACACTTTCGTTACAAAAATTTGGCAGGTGAATGGAGCAGAAACTTTTCGACGGTTAACACACATAGAACGTCACGTACTGAATCAAAGTGAAACCAGCGGATCAGTCTCTTAAATCTCTGAATTCGGAGATAATTTATTTTCTTCTTCGTGCGGTGATTTGGATGTTAAAAAGTACTTCTGTGACACAGCCGATAAGCCGAGTATTCTGACTTGCATTTGAATTCATATGTAGCAGTGCAGTGTAAATTGACTCACTGTTTTGTTGACAAAAGCCCACACTTATATTTCATCTGCATCAGGTTTATGCAAGTTTATATTTAGACAGATGTTTAAATATGGGTCAAGAATTATAGTTTGTGAAATGGTAAATGAAACATCTATAGCGAACAATGTGCCATGAAGTTAATTCAGGCAACAAGAAACAGTGAAACAGTTTTACTTCTTATTAATTCGACTGGCTGGAATTGAAATCAGAGTGCTACTTCAACACACTGGATATAGATAAAATAATATATTTCACCTCATCTGTGTGAAGCTCAGAACAGGACTGAAGAATTTCAAAGGTAAATTTGTGCTCGTGTGTGATTTAATATGATGACCAGCGATGTTCGACAAAATTATTCATTGACTCTATACAGTGCTAAAGTTTGTGTCACAAGTGGTCAGGTGACCAGCCGCAACCAGAGTCTTTCATCCAATGACCAAGGGAGGCAGAGGAGAGAGCCTGGGAACGAGGTTGGGGAAAATCTAGCTTCCTGTACAAGCTTCTTTAAAAATAAACCAAGTTGAACTTTTAACATGGCAAAACAAATAACCTGTAGAATCTAGAAATATATACTTTGCTACTTTTATTTTGCTAGGTTTGAACAAGCCTTTAATCCACAGTGTCTGATAATTAATACTTAATAATGTTCTTCCAACTTACCTACCTGCACCAAACAAGGTTATACTTAAGGTTCCACTTGAAACAAGTGCACTAAAAAACTGGCTTACTGCCCTGTTGCTCACCTTATCTCTGATATGGGTGTTCCCTGATAGGTCTCCGTGGTTTGACTGCACCTTAAGAGAAAGTAAAGGAACGTTTACCACCTAAATTGTGTCAGAGGTTTGGATGCCTAAACATGATTATTTTTCACACTTACCAATGATGGAAGGCTCTAGTCCATAGTCGAAAATAGATCCTGGTCTTGTTGCATATGGTGCAACAAGTCCAGCTGGGTATGCACTGGGAACTGAAGAAAACAAAATCATCTTTAGTTTTAACATTTCAGGGATAATTCTTTGGTTCCTAACAAATGTTCCTGTTACCACAGACTTACTATGGACAACACAAGGTACTGCCACTGGTTCTGTCAGCCATGTGAGAGACCAATATTATGTGGTTTAGACACAAAAGTCACAGGGATTGAGGCTGCATGCCTGTTTTGAAAATGATTAAGTACAAAAGTAACAACACCAACAAAACACAGCTTCTAGTAATTTTTGTCTCAAAAAGAGGAACAAAGTGCTCTATGAGCAAACCCATGGATTTCCCAGTAACTGATGACTGATATGACCTAACCTCAACGTAATATTGAAGTACTCTTTTCATAAAAAAATAGGTCCACATTGCAGACATGTGTGGCTTACAGATTATTCTAGTTTATAAATGAGTTACTTTATTGACTTCTGGTAATACTCATTGCAACAGCAGTCTTCTCTTAAAAACAAAAGAGGAAAACCAAGTGAATCATTCCTTATTTTCACTTTTTTTGCATTTCAATCTCAAATGACTTTCTTTACTCAAAACAAGATGCACAAGAAAAAGAAAGTGCATTGCTCCGATGGATTTACACATTTTTGATTGAGTCAGTCTACCTTGTTAAGTTCTCGTTGCCTAATGGAAACCAATAAAGGTTGCTGAACATGTTTTTCTTGTCGCCTGAATACGAAAAGCTAGTCTGCTTTATGCACCTCAGATCACAAAATGCACTGCCACTAATGTAAGGCTGAAAACATTCCCAATGCGTATTACAAAAGCCAATATTTGGTCTTATTTGCAGTTAACCATTAATTTAAAATTGGAATTGTAATAGAAATGTCAAATGAACTATACCCAGACAGCAAACAAAACAAGTTTCCATTTTTATTGCAACAATCGCAGTCACATAATACCTTGACCTAGAAATGTAAAACAATGTATGTGCCTGCAATGTCAACTTATACAGTGATTTCATGAGCTTTATCTACTGGTCAGCAGAATTACTTCAAAAACTTTACAGATGACGGATGAACATCATTTGCATATCACTAGCATAATCTGCATCATAACTTAAACTCCGTAGATTGCTTTTGCAATCCCCAGGTTAAAAATGTAATCATAATGTTGAAAAACTGTAATTTACAACTTAAGGCACAGGTTGCCAAAAATAATAATACTGGTAGCAGCCCAGAGCTGCAAGAACCTGGTTGTATTACTTCCAAACATAAATTACTTTGGGCTCAAGAAGCTGGCTACAACTACAAGTGTTCAAAAGGTAATAATATTATTGGTTTAGCTGCCATTTTGAAAGTAGTTACCCTTCAGGTGTTCTGTTATGTTCTAACTACACAGTATAGCTCTAATCTCTTATCCAGTTATGTTAGCTGGAACCTTTGAATCTTTTGCATTCAACATGCATGAGATGTACAACCGCTATGTAGCTAGTCAGTTTCAAGATGACACAAAATAATTATGCATCAACAGTACATGCTTTCGAACAAAATTGTTTTCAATGGCATGTCTAAAAGATAGATTGGCGCAACAACTTTCAGCAGCCAAAGTGGTGTCTAATATAGTGAAAGTCATGTCAGGGTTTTGCTCCACAACTTTTAGCAACAACTTTTTTTTGAAGATGTACCTGGAGGTCGAGCTGCAAATGGATATCCAGCTAATGCAGGTGCAAGTGGCATTCCCAGGAGACCATTGTGTAGAAGAGTGGCATTGCCTAGGTGGAAGAAGAAAGTCCATTTCAGCATTATTCCTAACAAAGCTATTATCAGCACAGCAGGAAGGTGGCTGTTGAAACTGGTGAAGCTACAAGTCTGGTGATTCTCAGGCATTCTTCAATATGGCTACCTTGTTTGCCTTCGTTTTATTGTCAATGGAAAAAAGACAAACTGAAATGCTGGTATTGATTGCTGTGATTTCCTTGTGGAAAATAAGCAACAACATACGACCAACCCTGCCAAAAAGAGCTCTTACTTTGACAGGTACAGTGTATCAGCTCTCGCAAAATGGGGAATACAGTAAAAAACTGTAAATGAACAAATAGCAAATTTTGCTGTTCAATTTTCATGCTCTTTAATTTTCATTCAAGGATCAGGTTACGAGGATCTATGATATTATTTTGTTTCCTGTTGAATTTTCAAGAAGTCTAGATAGCTACTGGTACTACAAGTGGTTGCTGCCCAGGAGTTATTTCCACTAAATATTTATGATAAAATGTCTAGTTAATCAATTGATTGATCAATCAATAAGAGTACAAAAAGGAAGATAATAAAGTGGAGGAAAACAAACAGACTGACATTTTGTTGAATTGTTATATTGTCTACTTTGGAGAGAAAAAAAGTTTGAACAGGATGAAATTTTCATTAACACCATTTTCATCAGTCCAGACATGTGTACATACCTGCTTGTTCCCTCAAAGTGCCATTCATTAATGCTAGGTCTTTTAACTGTTTCTTTTTAAGTTCATCTTCTCCCTCATTCTAAATTTAAGTATGTGTTGTGAGTAAAAAAAGAAGATACTACTCTTGTTTGCATTATCTTGATGTACCATGTAACGAGGGTTTAGATAAAGTTTTGAATAACTAGTAGATTTATGCTAAAACAATTCTGATAGATTACTCTAGATTTCTATGAGTGCCGCCATTGAACCATTGGGAAATGGTGCTCTATAAATTTTAATATTATAATAATAATAATAATAATAATAATAATAATAATTATTATTATTATTATTATTATTATTATTACTTCTAGACTACCCTACATGTACTAGTACATTGGGTATGCATATTTACCAACTTACGTTGTAGCTTTCCACAGACAGGCTGAATGAAAGAAAAGACACAAAACAGTTCTTTCTCTATCTTGTCTTTTTGGACATGTGATAAACTTACCACAGGTTGAAGAAGGTCTTTCACTTTTTCAACACCCTTTGCAAGTCTTAATTTTGCCCTGTCCTCTGTGTCTTCCACTGATATTAACACATGAAGATCCTCATCTAGATGTTCATAGTTTTGTTGGCCTCGCTTTTCTTCCTCCTGTAATGTGTTGCAAATAAGATGTGTCATATAGAAGAGAAACCAGGGTTCCAAAAACATTAAATATTTAAAGTCTGAAAGCACTTTGAAAATATGCACAGCATGAAAATGACTTGACTTTTTTGGCTCTTGGTAACTGCAACACAGGGTCAACATTTTCTGATAGATCCTGATTGCATTCACATAGTGTAACGAAATCCTAATTCAGTCTGTATCAAGATTTTTTCAGACTGATTTGTTCGCCGATTTGGTCTCCCACAGCAAGAGCAAATTACATTATATGAGCGCATGCACACAGTCACGTATTCTGCTATTCGCCAAGAGTGTATGATTTCTACAAAGCTACATGTATTTTGACTCGCTAGCCTTCAACAACAAGTTACTAAAGCCTGTGTCATCGGGAAAGAATGTTTTGTAGCTCGGCAACAGCAAATGGCCATAAGTTGTGGTGAGAAAACAAATCTTCCGTGTAGCTCAGCAAATGGCCCTGATGACCATCAGATCTGTGGTCAGAAAATAAATTTTCCAATTTGTAGCTCAGCATATTCAATGTGGCCATAATTGACTGTCAGAAAACAAACTTTCTGTGTTGTGTAACTTGCCAAAAGGCCATGTTTTGTGATCAGAATGATTAATTCACCTTTTTCATTACTGAACTGAACAAGATGTAAATTCAAGCAATGTAAACCAATACAAACACAAAATTTAAAAACATTTGGCGACGCACTGTCTTACAGGGTCACTGGTCAGAACTTTGTTGACTTGTCTCAAGAAATATTTGTGACAAGTGTTGGCGATCTGAAATTGAATTCTAAGTGTCGCAAACAGTTTAAATGCCTCTCCTGGAAAATATTTTGTCCAGTACAAGTTAAAACTTAATTTTACAAATAAAAATATGTGGTTGCACTCCTTTAATCTCTGATTACTACTAGTACAGAACAGCTTTATCTAAAAGCTGCTAACAGACTCTCGCTGAAATTTAAGCTAGTTGAAGTTTTGAAGGACAAGTGCTGTAAAGGTAGCAAATGAGCGGTTCCGAACGGAAAATGCAAAGTCAGCAAGCTTCACTTATTTACAAATAGGAGAATGCCATAAAGATCATATTTGTGAAAATGGATAACATATATAAACGTTCTGAAAAAGTATATTTGTGTTATCCAAATGATTGGAAGGAAGGCAGCAATCTCCTCAGCAGCAACAAGGGCACCAATTTAGAGAGTTACATGTAGTTAGTGTGTGGCATTTTATTTTTTTGAGATGTTAGTCATTCTGAAAAACTTTGTATATATATTTACATAATTTATAGTAATCCAGCTAAAGGCCACCTCTAGTCATCTGTCAGTATTAAAGCACTGAAACAACATGTGGGATTAACACCTACCCAGGAATATGAATCCCAAGCCAAGTGATCTAGCGATACAGAACAGGGCAAAAGCATGTGGCAATAACTCTGGAAAATCCACACATTAATGATAGAACTGCCCATCATTGGCTTACACACTCTAATTACAAATTTGTTTAATAATGATAAATTTCATTTATTAAAACTTACCAATTTTTTGTCTTTCATTGATCCTTTTCCTCTGACTAAAAGTTTGCATCCAGTGGTAGACTCTACTTCTCGTAATGTCATACCTCGAGGGCCAATTACTCTACCAACAAAATTGAACTGAAATGCGAAACACAGAACAACCTGAATTAACCTTCAGTTAGTCTTTTATTCCAAGGGTATGCAAAGTGGGAGTGTCCTGGATACATATTGGCTGTCAATGAGTTCATTGTCAGAATCACTAGCTGGCATGAGCCTGGAAAAACAACTTACAGTCTTCTGCAAATAATTGTAGGGAAAGCAGCTACTGTACATCAATTGCTGGTTGACTGTATTTCTGTTAGTTAGTTTGTTTGTTTGTTTGTATATTAATAACTCAATATTTACCAGTATGTAGAAGTAACTGCACAAACAAAAATGGTCCAAACGAGTTTTTTAAATCTATTTATTATAATTCCTTATTGTTTGAGCCTCTAAGTCTGTGCTATAAATAGAAAGTATAGGATAAAACGATTAGCAACTAGTTGATCTTTAATTTATTTGACTGCATCTTTAGATAGGTCATAACACCATCGTGGAATTTTGCTCCCCAGCAGGAATCTCTACAAGAATGTTAGCAGGATCCTGCCAAGCACGAAAATCCTGGTGAGGAAAATCTTGGCAGGATCCAGACAAGATTCTCCTCTAGAGCTCAGCAAGATTCCCCTTTGGGGCACAACAAGATTCCCCTTAAGAGTGCAGCAAGATTCCCCTCATTAATCTTGCAGCTATTTTTACAATGGTACCTCCACGTGGTACAATTCTGTTTCCTACAAATACATTGCTCAAGGTTTATACTCTTTTGAGCTTTTGAAATTCCATGACTTTCCATGACCTTTTCCATGATCTTTCCGAGTTTTCCATGACCAAAGTTAAGCAGTTGTTCTCAAAGTATTGTCAAAACATTATACTATTTAAGGTATTTTCCCACATTATGACACATAAAATGCGTGCTAGTGTTTATTTTTATACTGGAGTTAACTGGTTTGCTGACTTGTCTGTTGTTTTTTTCAACTTTTTATTTTTTTTTTCCTGTTCATTCTCAAAAGTTTATTGCTTTTCCATGACTTTCCATTACCCACACTTCAATTCTAGGATGTTCCAGGCCTGAAAAATGAAATTATGAAATTCCATGACCTTCCAGGTTTTCCATGACCTGTACGAAACCTGTTGCTTACTCATACTACAGAATATATTTTTCTTTTAAGCATTAAACTCCAGTGATCATGTTCCATCCATGTATGATAGCAGCCTTACCTTGGGGTATTCTTTAACTGGTGCATAAACCTTTTCACTCAATTTAACTCTTGGCCCTGATGGTGTTGGTAACTGCAGCTCTGCGAACATTCCATCTACTTCTGCATTTTTTACCACTCCATGGAAAAGTTCATTTCTTACTCGGTTGATTTCTGTATAAAAAACAAAATTTACTGTAACATAAGTGTACAATCTCCCCACCACCATCACTTCCTAGACAGGCCAACAAGTTTCAAGTTGTAAAGAACAAAAATTCACAAAACTTAAAAATACCAGTAATGAGTATGAAGGTTGCCATTTGGTTGGTAAAGAGAATTGTCCAGCTTCAATCCCAACAAGTGACAAGACTTGCCTTTAAGTCAACAACTACAACTGACTAGGACAAAACTAGTATACATGTAGTAGTTGTGTATGTCAAAGTTTGTTGAAAGTAAATGAAAATGAGAATTTTCCTTCTTAATATGATGACAATCCTTGAATACCTATCTATTAAGGTCAGACTGTTAAGAATAGCTAAATTGACCTTAACGTGTCCACAGTCAGTTTTTTTTTTCATTAGAGACCTTTAGATCCACGTTTACCGTTCGCCATTCAGACGTAAACAGATTTAGATTGAAGTCAATTGGAGCAAATAGAAATCATCTTGTCAATACAGTAGAAATTGTCAAAATAACACTGAATTTGAAAAAGTTTTCTAGTATGTGCAGTTTTCTAAAGAACTAAAGCATCATAAAACACACATTCGACTTAAGCCGTTGCCATATTGGATTTCCACTTAGGATAGGTGCCTTTCTTCAAATAACAACAAAAGGCTAGGTAATTGCTTCTTTGCCTGAAACATTCATCCGTTTTGTAGAAAAAGGGTAATTTTATTCAATTTCAGTATGTGTACGTGGCATAGTATACAATTCAAGGCAATAAAGCTTGTGGTAAATAACTTACGTGAAAACCTACTTCTTGATGTTCTGAACGCGAGTCAAAAACCTCAAACGTGATGTCTGGCTTCAGTCACGTGATCCCTAGTGGTTAGCCGTTCGCCGGAAACGTGAATCTAAAAGTCACATCGCTCTAAAAGACTTGTGTGAAAACACTTCTTGAATTAAACAAAACAATTTTACAAAAACTTTCAAATTTGCAGCCATTTGGCTCAGCATTCGCCTTCGTCTTGTCTCAGCTCTCCCCTATATCAAAGGAGCTTTCATGTAGATTTAGGGACAAATTGCTTCAGACTGCCAGTAAACAAATTGTATTCTAAGATAATTTCTTTGAGTTTAGTAGCAAATTTGGAATAAAATACTAGAAAGATGCATTGCAAGGAAAGCAAGATGAGAACACTCATTAATTTCCTTTGTTTTTTAACTGCAATGTGTGACTACTATTTCAATGTGGGTTCTTTTAATCTACATGAGCCTGTTCACCATCTTGATCAGTGGTGTGGGTGTACATGTACCATAAATACAAGCACTTTCATTTGAATTGTTCCAGTCACAAAACAGTTTCTCAGGAGTTCTTTAAGTATTGTGAGTAGCCAATCTATAAAAATTGGTATTGATCAAGTGATTTTTAGTGGCTGATAATCGGCTCTTTGCAACTGCTTAGTTACTGAGCTGAAAGTTATCAAATTCACATTTCTACAGAGGGGGTGAAAGGATGAATTTCTTAATAAAGGTGTTTGGATGTTAGAAAGAACCTTTCAAATAAGTTGTAATGATTCCTGAGGGGGATTTGAATGATTCTGGAATAATTCCAAAGGCATGGTGCTATTCAGAAAGGCAAATATTACATGTGACATAATAAAATGTAATTTGTGATAATCGGTATTGACATCAAGTAATATTTTGCCGAGACAGAACAGAGAACTGGGTGCAAACCTAATACACAAAGGCTCATGGGTAGTACGTTTGTAAAAAAGAGACAGTTGAAAAACTTGTGACATTCTAAGGTCAGCCTTGCCACTAGTACTTTCGCATAAGGTTTATTTTTATTGCGTAATTAGCATTATCTGATTTGTTCTTTATTCTGTTGTTTATAGATCAACCTGAAAACCCCAAAGGTGGTGCCACTACATTTGGCCAGGGGTACACGGTCCCTATTTTTCCTAACAAGAGGTTTTTGGGTTTAAGGTGTCCGGCTTTGGTGTATGTAGGACGTTACTTGATGTATCCCTTATCCACTTTGTTGTAAGCTTATTGTCACAATTAAAACATATCTTGGGCCTGGCTGACCAATGCGCCCATACCTCAACCTTTGCGTGTGTTCAGTTGTGTAGTGAAGGCAAAATCATTTTTTATAGTGATAATAAAGAGTTCTTATAGGCACATTTAAAAATCCCAACATGCTTACAATAGTTTACCTGAGGAAAAAAAATAAACAATGGTAAAAATGGTTATTAAGGGTGTCAAGAAACATTACGTTATAAGGAAAAAGTCTGTACAATAACAGCTCATTAAAAGTGGCCTTTCTTAAAGCCACTTCCAATTTTCCCCATTTGTGTCAAAAGGGGACTTAGGATAAGTCTACTTAAAATAGCTAAAAAGATCTATTCAAAGAAGAAATTTCAAACAAAAAATATTACAAGCAAGAATAAAATCTCTTTTTGCAACATAAAGGACATCAATTATGTCAGTTGATTTCCATGAAAATAAAATTATGATGCAAGATCAAAATTACAAGTGGATAAGATAAACCAATTTGCTCCCTAAAAAATATACATTTATAAAATTAAGTTGCTGGGGTGAATAAAAGCCAACTTAAATTAAATCAAATTTGTAATTCATGGTAACTGCATAAGACAGCAGTGTGCTATTCCTCCAAATAGCATTATAAAAACATAACTGCTGTGACAAGATGGTAGAGAGTTTAAAATGGATATTTTTAGCTTGCAGATTGCAAATCACGTCAAAATCGTGAAGTAGAATCCAGTATTTGTAATTAAAAATGCTGTATTTACAATGAACCAATTTAATTTAGGGCAAAGGCGAATAGGCGAGGGGAAAATAAAGAGATTTCAAATCTGTTGACAGAAAGTAAAAGGGCAGGAAAGGAGTCAATAATGAATTGTCAGTTTATTTGTTTCTCCACAAAAATAGTTTGACAGAAATGATAAGAAAAATGCTACATATACAAGCTATCAGGAATGAGAAAAAAAAAAAAAACACACTGAACATTTTGCTTGAAAGCTTATAAATGTCTCAGTCTCAGAGTCACACCCCCAGCCAAAAAAAACCCACATCACATAGGAAGGACTTAACCACAATTTTTTACCTAGAGATCTTTCCTTAATTTGTGGTTATACGAGCTTGATTAGCAATTTATGCATTCTATTTGTGATACATTCTCTGTTTGGCTAGATACGTGTCATAGGGCGCATCTGCCTCTTATCAAGCCTCTGGTCATTATTACATGCACATTCCAAGAATTAAACCTCCTAAGAGTGAATTTTTCACTAACCATCAACCTAAAACGAACAGCTTTAGAGAACCCCTGCAACACGACTTTTTGATTCCATTTCAACAAGTAATCTGATGGGACGTGTTGATCTGATGAATAAATCTGAGCTCAATCAGAACACATCAAATTTTCACAGTGATTTGACCCGGACAAGTAATGAAAAGATTGAATTCCAAGCGTGACGATTCTGTTTCACCGACAACATGTAATTTCATGGACCGTCAAGCGTTTCAAATACTGAAAATACTTAACAAAGGACTTTCCAAGTAAAAGCTAATGTTTTAGTTTGTTTACATACAAGAACAAAAACAAAACGTCGTCGAGACAAGGAAACTCGCAAAAAGAAGCATCGCTTAACAGGCATCCGCGATGCAGCGAGTTCGGTAAATTTCGAAACGATGTGAGCTTATATACAAGACTTGTTTTATTTCGGTACATGCATTATTATCCACTACTATTTGAAGTCCAAATAGTGAAAGAAAAGCAACCATCGAACAAGTCAGCCTTGTATAACTGGGATCGAAACTGTGGATAAAATATTCATGTATCCCACTGGGTCGAAAGAAATCCCGTTGAATGTAATAAGAATACGGGTTAATGAAACAGAAAATCACAACAACCGTGTTCACAATACAACCAACCGAGTCTCGGGGTACATCATTTTCACGCTAATCTGCAAAATTTAAAGGGGTTGTCGATATATTGTTACCCCAAAAATCTTCTGAAACATCCGAAAGCGTAGAACATCGGCACCACAAAAGAGGCACACAACAGTCTTGCAGGGAACTATATGGAGCGTGCGATGAAGACACCCAGTGTTCTTTTCCCATACAACTAAAAACTAACACTAAGCAAAATGTCATTTTATCCAACAAACCTGAAGATGATCTCTTGTACTCCCTGGTGTTTCAGTGATGCTACACTAAAACACAATCGTTGTTGGGTAAACACAGGACACGGTGTCCGGATGTAGGGCAAACAAATAGAAGGTTGTTCATGGTCCATGTTCGCTGGCCGTCGCGATCGATTACGATTTTTCGTCGACGCAACTTAAGCTTAAATCGCGTTAGAACAAACTCGACCTCTGAAAATAATTAGATATTACCTCGCAAAGTTATGTTCTCTCTGCTGGGAATTATTTACGCTGATTTACCGATTATTTATCATAACTGCAGTTATTATTATATTAAATTTGAAGTTAACTCGGCGCACACAGTACCTTGATCCAGCAACCTTTCGGCGTGAAGAAATATCTTGGGCATTTTCGATACTGTTGTTTTGTCGCTCAGTAGTTCGTTAAGGTATTCAGAAGAAGCGACAGAACAAGACATTGTTGCTGTTATGGGTTAGTAGAACGTAAAAAGAAAACACATAAAAAAGCAATAAGCGGTTGTTCTACGCCTGAGCAAGTCTTGTGAACTTCGACATGTGCAACCAATGAGGGCTCCGTCAGGGAACTGGAGCGATCAAAGCATATGAGCCTGTTATCTTTGCCAATGCGGTATTCTTGCTAATTCAAGATGGCGGCTGCAGCGACAAGCTCCGGAAACGATGAAGTTGACGACTTATTTTCACGATTTATGTCCGAGGTAACAAAATTATTCCCCTAATAAATGATATGATCCCTTTAGCTTTGTTGAACGTGAGGAATTTGATCAAATATCGTTTTCACACTGCTATAGACTCTGGTTGAATTATGTAAGCGCTGGCTAGAAGCAGCTAGAAGTCCAGCAGCCGGGCGGCGTTTTTAAAATATTTCGCTCCGGCAGTCAGAAAATGTTTTTTTGCATCGTGGTACCATTACAGTTTTTGAGAACTAGCCGTTAACAGGCTAAGCGTGTCGCCATTCAAGCTAATCTCTGTGCTTTTCAGGCTAACCGGAGGCTGTTTCATTAATGCTTACCAGACACAGAGTATATCATAAGCTTAAATAAAGTGTAATACTCGAGCTCCGTGTCCTGTTAGCCTAAATAGCACTCCAGTCAGCCTGGAAAGCGCTACGGGAGTTAGCCAGAATGGGGCATCAGTTGGCCTGTTTACGGTTAGTTCACAATGATTGTATCGATAACACTATAAATATTTACAACGTAGTCCTAAGAAGAAAATTTTCTGACTGCTACATGGAGTATTTTAAACACGCTGGTCAGGCCGGTTACCGTCAGGCCAGACATCTATTAAGTCCATTAAGCTTGTTAATTCATACATGCAATTTATCTCATAATAATATTTTGATGTCTCCATCGTTTGCTTAATTAGATGGCAAAAAAATGTAACTACATTTGGAGTACAATGTGATGATTAGACAGGGTCCGAAATTGCGCTTTCCTGGTCACCAATGCAACTAAAAATTTTGCACTGGCAATCAGAATTTCACAACTGGTCGCCAGCGGGTGATTAACTATTTCATGTCACGATAAGTGCACAAACAATAACTTTGATTTTCAGCCAAATCAATCAAAATAAAATTCAAAGCCGCCCGCTAATTGGTCACTTCCTTTTTACCTTTTCCCTGCTTTTGAAGTATAAAACCGATTTTCTGGTTATTATAAATCTACCACAACGTTTTACACCTACGATCATTGCGAAGCTTCGCCGCCATGTTTTTCAGCAGTTTCCCATAACGTACATATTGTGGGCGTAAGAGGTCCCATGCATTATTTGGCCGTGAATATTTTTATTCAGGCGATGTGGTGTCCAAAGATGTTCCGAAATCTTTCCGTAATTTATTACAAAGTGGAGACGGAACATCCGCGAAGAAATTAGATGAAGATTTAGAT